ACAAACATACAAGGTGAGAGATAGATAGACAGGGAGAGATAGACTGACAGAAGACTTATCAATCAAAGACCAAAGCAGAGTGCTAATCCTCTAGCCAGAAGAGACACAAGGAAAGCCAGGTGAGGAGAGAGAAGACAGGAAAGGAGAGGAGGGGAGATAGGAGCAGACAGGACAGGAAACCGAAGAGAAGGACGGAGAGGAGACGGTGAATGTAGCCCGTTGAAGGACAATCATTGTCTATCAACATGAAGAATTACCTTTCTCTCTGTCCCTTATGCCTTCATATGGGCGCACATACACACACGGAGGAACAAGCTGACCTGTAAGGGAACACTGATTGAATCTTCAGTGGGATTAACAGGGATTTAGCCCAGTGTAATGATATCTGAATGAGTTGATTAGCTATCTGATGACACTTTGCTGTTTGACCTCTAAAGCCCAATAACAACTGGTAACCCGTCAAATTTTCTCAGGCTGCATTTAAACTAGGAGAGAAATAAACTAATATGCAACCTCCTTGAGGCAGCGGTCGGTGTTTTTTCTCAGCGAAATGAACCATGAAACTGTGTGACTGTGTGGGCAGCCACAGCATGATCAGTTATGGTTAAAAATCGGTTTTCACATGGTTTGTCCCTGTTAAGAGAGTGACAAATCTCACAAGCAGTGACAAAGTGCAACCATGAAGGCAATGAAGGGCAAAGGTTTCCCAAGAAGGCAAAAATACGAGAACAAATATAGCTGCAAGCAGCGATTAAAGATAGCCACACACACACACATGAAGAAATTGTGATGATGTTGAACGAAAAAGAGGCAGGAAAGGAGTTTTGGGAGAAATAGCTGCCTAAGCACCACTGGTGCCTGGCCTCATAATACAGTACAAGGAAGAGAAAACCTTTAAAGGAATAGTTTGACATTTGGGAAATAGACTTGCATCCTTGCTGAGAGTTAAATCAGAAGATCAATACCACACTCTTAGCAGCTGGTTAGTTTAGCTTAGCATAAAGACTGGAAACAGCTAACCTGGCTCTCTCCAAAGGTAACAAAATCTGCCCACAAGCACCTTTAAAGCTCAGTGTTTCTTAAAAGTTTTAGTTTTTGTCAGGGGTCATGTACCAGACTGACTTTTGGCTGGGCACCGTAACTCCCCAGAGTCTCTGCTGGTCAACTGGCAACTTCAAGGTGACCAAAGTATTCCTTTAATGGAAGAAGGAAAACATGCTATATTGATAATAAAACAATTTAAAGACAGTACAGATTGTGAAAATGGTTATCCACTGCATGTAGTATATTTTGATTTGTAGCTTTGCTATGCCTGAGGGGTTAGGGTTAGTTTTGCAGCACGTTAAAATACAGATCACACAAAAACATAACGAAATACACAGGTGTTATAAATGTATTAAAAATGCTGAAACCTGTATGTATGTAAAATGACAGCATATAAAACCTGGAGTATATCAAGCCTTCACCATACATATAACACTGACAGCATGAGAGATTAAAGAATGGTTTGCCCTGCTAGACCAGCCTTTAGTATTCTAAATCCACATCCAGAGGGGAGAGGCTGTCCCTGCTGTGTGAAACTTAGAATCAGAGTAAATATAGTCTGAACAAGTTCTAACAAAGTGAATTATAAAGTGGAAGCAGTCCTTGGTACAAGAGATCCATAAACAGAACTACAGAAGTTAAAATATTCATATTACACGGATAGTCCAGTGGTTGCCACAGTTCCTGGTGTGAGTTGAAGACCAGCTGTGATTCAGAAACATGGAGTGGGGTTGCCGGGAGGTTCTTTCTGTCGTCTCTAGATAGTTGTTAAGAAGTTGATTCAGATTTCAGCTGTGTTCCTCCCACCTCTAACAGAGAGGTTATGTGAGGACTGTGGAGACTTGAGTTTGAGAGCACTTGGAGATCTGCCCACTTTTCACATCTACCTGCACATTGCCATTTGCTGCAAAAAAGGAATGTGACTGGTGTGGCAGCTGGTTTCAGGAAGTTACAAAAACATGAGAAGCTGGACTTTTTTTGTCACTTTCTGACTGTCCACACTTCAGTGGAAGTGTTGTGCTATAGTTCTCTTTGGTGTCTTTGCCTGGAGAGAAATTAAAGTTCCAAATCTGATCATTCCAAATATGTCTAAAGCTGATCCCTGTCTTTGACTTGGTGTTCAGTGTCATGTTGAAGCTTCTGCAGAGCTGGAGTCCATCATAAACATTGTGCCTCAACCGCTGTAGAAAAAAAATTCATACAATGAAGTAGCATCCAACAGATTCATAGTGTTATATCTTTGTTAACAGGCAGTAAAGAAGTTCACTGTGCTACTTGTGCTGTTCCAATAGGTCAAAAACATAAATATGAAAGTTCCCCTGCTGGCTCAGCAGGCACTGAAGCTGGTCTATCGATCAGCTTACCAGAGCTGGTGGTGCAGTCCATTTCTCCGACCTGACATTTTAGAGTAGTTCTCATTTTTCTTTTCATGTAAGACATGTCAGATGTGTAATACAAGATGGATTCTGTCAATGGTGTTTCCCCAACGTGTTGTCAAAGTAGCTGCTTCTCCCTGGCTGTGATGGCACACCAAGCCATGTTGGATAATGAAATCATGGATTTGATCTGGTCATTTAGCAAAAACTTTAATCAAAACCGAATGTGCATCAAATATGACCTGCTTGTCCCCCAAATACCTCTGCAAAAGTTAAATTTGTCATATATTCATAAGTCCAGGGACACAGGTGAAAGCAGTCCTGGAAGAACTGCATGTACTGGGAAGTGAGAGAAGCTATATAATTACTGTCTGTAGGCATTATACAGCACAGATGCCATCTCCATCATCACTAAAATGTGACAGTGACAAAAACCCGAGGGCAGACAGGACCTGAATGAGCACCAAGATGACATTTGTTCACAGAGTGCATCTCCCTGGTGTAGCAGAAACTTGCCAGCAGAAGTTCTGCAAAGTATAAACATGAAAACAAAATCAACAGAGGAGCCACTCGTTGATTTCAGCTATTGGTGTGCGCGCCCGCTGAAAACACACATCCTGTGCAATGCTGCAGGTGCCAAATCCTCCATCAAAGGAAAATGAGTCATTTTATGCACACCACAATCAATTTCTTAATGATGGTTATTATATGATTGAGCTGTAGTCCTAAATTGCTTACATCCATTTCCGTGCCCATACTAAAATTAGTAATGATTGTCATCAGCCTGTTTAAATCAGTGTGCTCATGTTTTTATTATTGTTTATTATGAATACTATATTCACTGCTATCAGTATGCACTGTCACTTCTATGAATGTTTAACTGTAGCAGTAATATTCATAATATTTATGATGTCATTTATATTAATCATATTACTATTTGGTGTGCTTACCTGATTTATGGCAGCCTTTCACTCGTTGGTAGTATTTGGCAGTCTGACCTGTGATTGAATAAGTATAAGTTCTCCTGCATCAGTACATGTTTATAAATCCTAGACTGTGAACAGAAATGGACACACTTGTGTGATCTCACTGACTCATGGTAGGACACCAAACACATTCAGCAAGGCTGGATGGCAGAATGAGCAGAGCTCTGCCGCTCCCAAGTGGTGATAAAGTGTGACTGCAAAAGACAGGTGTACCTGCAGGATTTGTGGGCTGCATGTTGGCACCAAGTGAAAAACAACTCATATACTGTATGTTCCTCTATTTTTCCATTTCTATTTTCATAGCCCTAAACAAACAGATAAACTGACACTACTACTTTCTTGGGTGGACACAAGGCAGAGAGGTCCAAAAATGTGAAAGCACATACTGTATACACACATGCTTGCAGACGCTCACACACACACACAAACACTCTATTGGATCGTGTGCTTGGGTAGCAGAAAGCCCTGGTGCTGTTCATTAATCACAATGTTGAGGTTTTGATGCCACAGCAGGAATGGAAATGCTGGTGTGACTCTCATAGATATACTATACTGCCTTCATCAGCTTCACTGAAGTCCAGAGCTGGGAGAAGTTACACTCAGACATGAGTAAGAGTGGTCATTTGTAGAAATGCTAATAATTCTATATTTCTGGAACCATGTGTAACTGTGTCACTCATTTATGCTTCTGAAAAACAATGGAGGTCTTGAGGAATAACATATATCAGGCTTCGGCCATACTTGTGAGTATGATCAATTCATTGATAGTTTTTAGCTTACATTTCATGGCATTTGTTGGTATGAAGACAAATATAGAATATTACCAGGCTTATTCTTAAATGCTAACACATTGCGTTATTATCCTTTATTGCAACGTGTATCCACAGGCCTATGTAAACTGTGTTCAATTATTATGTAGATTGATGAGTCACCAACTCAACAGGTAAGGACTTATAGCTCAGTGGTTAGAGCAGGGGACTTAAAAGGGTTGCAAGTTTGATTTTCTTCTAAGGGCTTTTGTCATTTTCACAAGCCTTGATCCCCAGTGACTGTGCAGGTGCCTTTATTCTTAGTATTTGCATAATAGGGATCATTCACATGAGAAATACATTCAACCTCATTTGTCAAGTTTTTGAAAAATAGCATGAAATATACCATGGGAATGATCCTGGATACCTGCCATGTGTGATGAATGAGACATCCTCACTCTACCAGTTGGATAGCAAATCATACATCAAATGTAGCTGTGGAATTAAAACCATGTGGAACCAATTCTACATTTACATATGACATATGTTAAATTAGGCCTGCTTGCTGAATCTTGGCTTATGAAAAGACAGTCTTGGCTCTGCTACATTTGCATAGCTTACATACATGCAGGCTGCTGCATAAAACAGAAGAGCCAAGGTGCAGCTAAGTACCGTAGCAGGTGTGGATGTTTCGGTTAAGGCTCATTATAAAGAGTGTATAAAAGTGTTTTATATCAATGTCCAACAAGTGTGATTACAGATTGTCATATAAGCAAAATAGGAAACAACCAAGTTAAGTCACAAATTTAGTCTATCTCCATTTTCCACTGAAAAATTTACACAAATGATGGAAAAGAGACGCACTCACTTTTAATAGGTACATTATAGAAAAGTAACTGACAGTCAGTCTAAAATGGACGAACTCCTTCCAACAGCTGTGCAACATCTTTGTCTACAAGTTTTCTCTACACCAATCAGATTGAACTTCCACTAATAGATATTCACATTTTTTGTGTAGAAGACATAAGAAACTTGCACCACTGGAAACAGATGTTCTACCACAAGGGGGCAGACAGCATCCTAGCCAGTGATGCTTTTTATTCAGTACTTGTTCCACAGTGATTTAGAAGGTCCAAACTTGCTCAAGGGTTTGTAGAACACTTAATTAGAAAATATATTCCAGGACTCTGAGAAATACAATTTTACAAATAAGCAAAATAATAGCCTATTCTCTCTTTTCAGTTATATTTAACTATGTATTAAATTTCTTAACTTTAAGGAATAAAACATATCCAGTTTTGTCCATTTCAGAATTGTCCAGTTCACTGGATGTTCTCTGATAGTGACATTATAACTTCCAGCTATTGATAACAACACTATCCAATAGAAACACGTCTCACAAACAGAGCAATAAGGCAAATCATTTAAAGTTTTTTCTTCTTTCTAAATGGAAAAAAAAAATCACACTTTTTCAATTTATTTTGTCATAGTAACATTTATGATTGAGATCACCTTCTTAATAACAGCAGTGCAGATGTTTTTTTTAGAGGTCAGCAAAAACGTTTGCAGTGGTATTCACATCTGGGTTGCCTCTCTGTGAGCTCTCAGAGTCTCCTGGCCTCCCCAAAAGGCTACTACACTGACATGAGTTCAGTTCTGGTTTGAAACCGTCTCAGGTTCCAGGTATCTCTCTGCTGTCAAGGTACGATGCATGTTGCCTTTCGAAGGGCCAAGTAGCCCGTTACAACATCAGTGGGGAGGAGACGGATGTAGGAGAACTCTTCAGAGGATGTGAAGCGTAGTTTTGTCTGAGGGTCTGTGTAGTTTGCCTGAGGAAAGACAACAGATTATTCAGTGTTTTCAGTGTTTTACACAAGACTTAGCGAAAGTCATGCTGTTTCTTGTTCGATCACATTTTTAGCAGACTAATTACTCACTGGGAGTCCAGAGATGTCAGAGTATTTCTTAGCTGGCTTCAGGGAGGGAGGGGCGTCGATGTTGTAGTCTGTAAACACAGAAAAATCATGCATTAAAATATTATTAAATATATTATATATATTAAATACGTTATCTAATACTATGAGATATGTTATATTATTAAAACTGTACCATTATGGCTATTTCTTCTGACTTATCACTGCAGGCTTATGTTTAATATAATAATATACTACAGCTTAAACATACAGTATACTATAAAGAACAGCAAAGAGAAAAATTTAAGCCTCTTTTTGCACAAAACTCAATTTCAAACTCATTTTGAAACTAAACTAACTTTTAAAACTAGCTAACTTTACCTAAGCAAACTAAACATATAAGTCTCTTGACCCAACTTGCTATTAATGAGATTCAGTTCCTAAATGTACCTCGGTAGAATAAAGACAAATGGCAAGAATACCTTAAAAAATTATAAATGTTAGGTAAAAAGGATTCGTGTCTTAGCCATTATTCTGTATTAATATAAAAATAGAAGTGGTAGAATTTTGAATAAACAAATAGGACCCTAATTATTTAGAGCTAAGAAATATACAACATGTAGCAGGTAAAATAAGATACAAACACTCACAATTGGGATCATTGAGCTTCCAGGGTAACGTCCGCTCCAATGCCAGAATCTGTTTGAGATTCTTCCAGGTCCGGTTCTTTTTGCCTGCTGCCGCTCCACCAATCCCAGAATGCTGCCAAGATTGAAACAGGGAAAAAAGGACAGAAATTGAGGAAGAAGCAACAGAAGCAGATAAACTTAAACCAAGACAGGCACAGACACTCACCATAAATGAGGGGTCTTTGAATGGTGGAGGCTTTGCTGTGGACTCTGCGGTGGCCGTTGGACCGCTGTCTACTGATCCCGCCGGCTTCACCTCTGACACCGTCTCTACCACTGTCATCTAAAGATACATGAAGCAGTACTCACATTTGATTTCAAGCTACTAGTTTACATGTTTTGAATGTAAACAAAGTTTCAGGTGGGTAGTGTAACCCGAAACCTAAAGATATATTTAACTGTTATCTATACCTAAGATGAAACTTAATTAGCATTTGAAAATTGTTATATAAAAACCATGTGTACAACTCTAATCATGTCATTGTGTGTATTTGCACTAAGAATGCAAACGACACACACTATAGTAGACCTATATACATACTTATATTGCACTGTGTGTGTGTGTTTGTGTGTGTGTGTGTGCGTGTGTGTGTGTCTGTGTCTGTGTCTGTGTCTGTGTGTCTACCGTCACCTGTGTCTGTGCTGTCGGTGTCGCTGTCTGCGGGGCTTTCTTCTTCTTGCTGCCGCTCCCGGTGGCCTGCTGGACGGCTGACACCGCCGGACTCCCGGCACGTTTCTTCCCCCGGAGAGCGGCAGAGCTGGCGGCTGTCGGTTGAGCCCTGATGGTTATTGGGATCTGAGATGCCATTTATAGCGATACGGCATCAAGGTCGTTGTGATATACGAAGTAAATGCAACCTTCTCGCTCGACATTAGCCGTCCATCATCCGGCTTGTAAACATCACTCCACCCGGATGTGGAATTGTTTCACTTCCGGTATATCAATCGTGTGAAATTATTTTAGAAATCTTCGAAATAATATGTATTAATCATATATTATCTTTATTAAAATGTGTTACTATAATCAAAATAAAAACTCAAAGTCATTTGAAGTCATTTTTGAGTGAAAACTCATATCCAAAACCTTAAAGAAATTGAACTGAGTAGCCTATATTACACGCACAGCATGTGTTATGGTTTGATCTATAAACCACTGGAATCAAAGCCACAGGTAAATATTTCATATATCATTTTTTATGAGAAGCATGAGCTCTGAAATCAAAACATTGATGCATTATTTACAGTAAGTGCAGTTATTGTTTATTGCATTTTGGCTCACTTGGCCAGCTTTCCATGGACCCTGAAGCCGTACAGACAGGAGTAGACAGGATGGCCCCAGTTGCTCTCAACTTGCAGCTTTATGTAGTTAAAGACACCTTGTTTGTTATCCTTAGGGAAGAGAAGAGAAATGAGCAGAGAGAGTTAGTTGAGTGGTCAAAAATGAGTGTCCCTAAAAAAGATAAAATGCCATCAGGGATATAGTGAATACAGCAAGGAAGGCAAACTGCAACCCCTTGTATTAGCTTGTGGGTGAAATTTAAAAATACATGTGCATATGTTTGGTGGTGGTCATGGTGTAATACTCACAGATGTTTTGAAAGTCTGAACTGGATCCAAATCCTGATCATAAAGAAAAGTTCCTAGATGGGTTCCCTCGTCGTCTAAATTTTCCATTCCCTGATAGAAAGAAAGATATAGACATCCAGTTGAACACCTTGTTGTTCTCTATGTATGTAACAGTTTTAAATCAAATTGAGTGGATGTCTGTATTGTAACAATGATAATTTTGTGAACTTACGTAGATGGTAAACTCCTTGGGGGCACTGGTGATGGTGCCAGTTGGGGCCACACTCTTTGAAATGTGTTCCAGTGTCACATGACTGATGGTGACTGGGTGGGAGAGGGCGATGAGCAAGTGACCCTTCCCACCTGCAAATGCCCAGCAGCGACCTGGAAGAGGCGAGTGTCCCTGAGGAGAGAAAGCGTGAAAAGCAGTGTGTTGCATGTATGAAAAAGAACAGGCAGTAAAAAAAAAAAAATCACAACTATAACATCATAGTCATACTGTATAGCATTCTGTTTCGTGTGTGTATGCCCCACCTGAATAACAGTCCTTTGGTGAACGGGTGGTCGCATTAAAGGTATTCCGAGGAGTGTTGTGAATGTCTCTTTTGTCTGGTGCGCTTCAGATGAGAGATGGAGTACAACTTTTGCTCCTGCACACAACAACACACACACACAAAGAAAGTGAGACAGCAGTCTCTTTTTTTTTTTAAGTACATGCGTGAATTACAATCTGGCAAATGAAGATAATGAAGATGGTTTAGATGTCTCACCTAGCGATTCTAGAGCAAAGTTGGGTAAACTGTCTGCTGTTAGAAAATGAGAATTAATCTCCTGCTTTAACCTCAGCAGTTCGTTACGCAGCTCTCTCACTTGCTCCTCCATCTCCTTGCATCGTGCAGTTGGGTCCTATTGGTGAGAATAGATTAATTTAACATTGCATGTTGACAGATTTGAGATATTGAAATGCCTACATCAATATGTGTTTTGCACAAAGACAAGAATATCTTTGCTTGTGTGCAGGAAGAATAAAACAAAGTTTCTATTCAAAAGAGAAAGTCAAGCTGCTTTTGTGGGTCAGACCGTCGTATTGATTATAGGTGAGATGGGTGATTCCAAAACTCCTGGATTCAGGAAGTTGCTGTTCAGTGTAATAATTGAGTATGCTAATCCTGATGGATGGAGAAACACAATCAGCAGGTCAGGGTTGTTTTATCCAAAAGACAGACACTCTACAAAAACCACAGGCTTCAGTACTAGGTTTAATTGTTTATGGAAGAAGAGGTCACTTACCAAAACACAGGGGGAGTATGAGGAATATAAAGTGTCTGTTGCCATTCCTATTGCTGCTGGTCTCTATTGCTTCAGGCTGAATATGGCGATTAGTCTTACGCCTTCTGAAAATCCTGGATGTTATGAAAATGCGAAAAGAGCTTTGAAGATATATGAAGAAGAACAGGTCACTGTGTTAAACACATACATACTGTGGTTACCATGTGTGCATATACAGCATGACAGTGACACACACAAATACACACACATACACTCCAACGTACCTGTGCAGGGTCTCCCTATATGAAATTAACGGTTCTCTGTCAATGCCGTAGTATCCTGAGTCCTCCAGCCGAGAGCTTCGTCGTGACATGACTGTTAACCAAAAGAGAAATGAGGTCGGTCATTTTCTGACACAAGGCATGTCATGCACTTATTCTAACTGTTACTATAACTAACCTGTTAATATTTAAGGGCTTGCATTCCTTTATCTTTATCCCTGTCATTCCAGTGGCAGTTTACAAAAGGAGTTCTGACTCTTGTGTCAACAGTATAGTTTTGCGCTGAATTCACTGTGCGTTCAGGTAATGAAGCCAGAAGTGAGATCTAAACCACACTTGATGTGATTGTTGCGTTAACGTTCTATTCGCGTCATGACTGTAGAGCAAGAGGCAGAATGTTAGACACACACCCACGTGCACGCGCACGCACACACACAAGCACACGCAAACACAAACACACACAAAGCCTGGTTTATGGCTTTAAGGTGAATCGAAAGTGCTTTACATAAGGCACAGAGATGTACTAAAACGGCATTAAAGAGAAAAATCAATGAATAAAAAAATAAAACAAAATTGTGTACAAAAAATGAAAAAATATAAAAATCAACACTATAAAAGTGATAATACAGTAACCATAATCTTCAGGCTCAGCATGACACAGAAACACATTCCTAACAGTGGAGTGTTGCTGCCACCATGTGTTTGAGTACGGTTTCTGCACACAGAAATCTGTGAACACTCTACTGTTCAAATAAACAAAACAGGAGGGGGAGGGGGTCATATAATGGATGAGCCCTCAAACTGGAGACAATTAGCTCCTTAGTGGACTTAAATGATAAAGCTGCTAACATTCCTCTAAAGATACATAGTGCACTTGAGTTTTTAATTACCTGATTGCATTTTGTTTGCTGCCTGTTATTGATCGCCTATATAACTTATTAAAGAAATAACTAAGGGGAAAATTTCTTTCCAATTCTCTTCAGTCCAAGTTTTAGCCTTAAAATTTATAGCTAAATATAGCAGCTACAGGCACTTAGCTGCTTCTGAGGCCTTATTGGATTGATGGTAGCCTATTTTTGTAAGTAGTGACCCATAAAACAGGCTACAGTTATGGCCCTCTGTTCCAGTTCCAGTTGTGCTTTGGGATTTATACATGCTGTATATCAACACAATATTTCCAATTATCTTAAATTAATAACTTGTAACTAACCACAACCTTATACACAAAAATGAAGTATACTGTCAGAAATTCATTTTTTGTTCTGTCTGTATGATAAGGTTTTGTTACAAAGATTTCTGTCAGACGACTGATTTAACTCTATTTCCACAAATAAAAGATGTATAATCAGAACTATGTTCTCCTTGTTGCTTTAGTCACAAAAGAAAAATAACATGAAAACAAATAGAACTGTAAGAAGTGCATTTAAACGAAACACACAATATATACAATACAACATACAATACAATATTGACTTGTCTAAACACCAAAGGACAATTTGGTGAAAATATTTCAGAGGTACATCCCACCTCCTGTTTCCTGCAACCTTCATTTCAGCCTAATCTTCTTTGACAAATGATGATAGAAGTGAAATGTGAAACTATTCACTCACTCCTGTAAGAGCTTCTTCAGATGACTTGCACTGCGACTCAGAAGCAGGTCAGTTATTGTAAACTCTCCCTTCAGAGTACAGTGAAAATTATCCACCATCCAATGGCTTGCAACCTGTTATCCTAAGATTGTAGATCCAGTCTTTTTAACCAAAATCAGATTTTCCCCTGTTAACCTTAAATATTTTTTTTATCTTAATCTGAAAGTGTTAGAGCCCTAAAGAGAAAAAAAACTGTCTGGTATTTTATCCAGTTCAGAGAGTTGTCAATTGCAGGGCCAAAACCCCCAGGTGAGGAAGCGCTGCAGTAGAATATTAGTTAGCCTGTATGTGATCATGACCAAATACTGTTAAGATAAAGATAAAGTCCTATTTCAGCGAGCAAAGAAACTTAGTTGGTCCTGACGTGGAAGTGAAAAACCTTCTCTTACAGGAGCCTGTAAAGTAGTTCAGGTAAAATTAAACAAGCTTAGGTGTCAGCATAACTCTGCAGGCTGAAGTGGCCTGCGGTTATCTGATGGCTGATTAGAGTAGGATGCCATGCCTTGGGAGGTACATGGTTATTCTCTTGTCCCTAAGTCACAGTGTTTCGCACAAACACCTTTGAGGGGAGAGTGCCTCCAGCATATCCATCAATCTATGCAGGCCCACCAGGGAGGGCCCTGTCAGCATCCACACATCTCCACACAACAAAGACATATCATATCCAAATTCAACACACTGCCCTCTGAGCTGCCGCGGAGACCATGATGAACTGAGGGATGCTGATGTAATACTTGTATGTGCGGAGATGTATTTGAGACACACACAGGGAAGCTTTACTGCTACTTTTCTGTCCTTGTCCCATCTTATAGTGACTAGAGGACCACACTCGCAGGGGAAATGCTGATTCAGAGGAAGGTCTTTCCAAATGTCTCATTCATATTTCAGCACCGGCATACTGCTGCTGCCAGCTACATGAATAAAGTATATCTAGAGACTCTGTGTGAGCTCAATTGCAAACAGATATGAATGTTTTATGGGTGAAGTTAAACTATGAGCTGTAACTGTGGGGCATTGGACCCACACACCCGATTTCTTATGAACACATCACCTATACTGTATGAGCCAGACAGCAGGCTGGAGCAGCATGCTGGAACCAGCAACATCAAAGTAAAAGATTTTGCACCAGCTGGACTCAAACTTATAGTCTAAACACACCTGTGCTACACAGAGCTCTTCTGTCAAACAAGAGAAGCTGTTCTCAGCTGTCTGTTACGCTCTTGAAATTGTCCTGTTGCTACAAAAACCATAGAAAAAGCATTTTCACCATGAAGTTGATTTTCAAGTTGACACACGGATATACAGTATGAATATATGCTCCTAGGGATCTAATTTAAAAGCATATTGCGTAAGCTGTTTTCTGCTCTAGTGATTCTGGGTGGTATGGAAGCCAAACATGTAAGCCACAGCCTGAAGCACCACTTATTGATCAGCAGGCCATTGACTGGTGCTGGATATGTGACAATGTTTGTAATGGGAATGGATAGCTCTCACGTGTGTGAATGCATGCATGTGTGTGTAGGCATATCCTGCCTAGTTTGAGGACATTTGTATACATGGAAAGATTGTTTGAATATGTATGAGTCTGTGTGGTGAATAAGAGCAAATGTACACGAGAAACAGTGTGCTTGTAATCTTTTGGCTGTAGTAACATTTGAAATACTTCAAGCTTATGCAAACTATATATTTGCAATTGTAAATACAGTTATCAACAGAAAGATAAGTGGTATTTTTCAGTTTAGCCTTACATCACAGTTAAACACATTTGTATGGCTCTGATAAATTATGGGATGTCTAGTGCCTTGCTCAAGGGTGTATCAGTGGTGGTTTGGCAAGGAGGACAGAGCCCTCCCTTTGTCCTACCTGGTCTGTGTTTAAAACTACAACTTTTCAATCCCAAGCCTGTGTCTTTAATCTATATTCATTCAAAAGATAAATATTTATTTTGAAAGAATAACAGAAATCAAACTGCTTTATCAAATTAAAGCCCTCGCAGCTTTAAAGAGGATTTGATGCAGCTGACAGTAGGTTTTCTCTTCCAAATGAAAGACATAATTAGAGATGACAAAAAAAAAACCCAGGTTGTGAGTGCCTTTTGCAGATGTATAATGACTAATACAAGATGGCAAGCTTGTTGAGGGAGAATGCAAATAAGCTGTGTGTATCACATATTTAATCATTCACTGCACTGAATCTCGCTTCCTGAATACATTCTGCATGACCTGACCTAGAAGTGAAGCTGTATTGCTATTCACATCTCATCAAGTCCAAGCAGAATGTTTTGTGTCTGTGCAGGTAGAACGTTGAGTCATAAAAATGAGACACGGCTCCTCACTGACTTCATTATGTGCAACAAGAGTTTGGCGGCGATGCTGATGCAAACCAATTTGCACATGTAACTCTGAGAAAGTGGGCCGACACCATATCTTGCCCATCATATATTGGCCACTCAGAATTACATCTTTCTCAGAATTACACCCAGGACTGCATTGCCAATCAGAAACAGAATTTACCATCCCTGTGAAAGAGCAGTCCATAAATTGGTATCAACTGAAGAAAATGAACTCACTGAGTCAGGCTGCTAGCTCTGCCTGGCACTGGCAACTGTCTGAGCACTCCCAAGTGCTTCTCTTATTCTGGTAATAAATTGTGACGAAAAAAAGGTTACGCCTGCAGTGAAGACATTTAAACACTCCCTTGATGGAACAGGTAATAGTGAGCAATACTGTTGACATCTTATTTATAGCGTCTTGTAACCCAGAGTATCCCATTTGCCATAAACAGTTCTCCTTTCCCTTGTAGTGGAAAACAGGTGACAGTTTTCTTTTTCTACTCTCTTTTCTCTGTTTTTTTTTTTTCTTGTTCAGATAGTAGTATGACAAGCCCTTAACTGCATCAGAGGTCTCACTGGATATATTGTATGTTTGCAAGTAGGGGGCAATAAAAACAGGCAAACATTGTAGTGTTTATTATTTTGACATATTCCACCACACAGATCAGCCTATATTTTAAATGAAACATAAATGCTTATAGGAACATGCGTACATCTTCCTGTTGGAGCTAACAGGCAAATGTTTCTGTAAACAATGTTGAAGTCTCCCAAGTAATTAAGATGTAAAACTTTTCAAAATTACCAAGGATGTATCATCTAATGATGTGATAAGGATTTTGGGAGGCAGCTTTGATTAAAACAGTTATAAGTTCAGGAGATGGATAGCTGGATCACTAAGAGTAGAAAAAAAAAATAGGACTAGGATGTTGGATACAGGAGCCACTTTTTCATATCCTGTATTTGTAGGCAGTGAAATATTCCACTTTCTCCAAAATGTGAGTTGCCATGACCTCAAATTTAGAAAGAAGCCTCCATTTCAAAAACAGACATTTAACGCATACATTTTTGGATAAAACAGGATAAAATAGGCCTTCTGGCCACTATATAATCCAATGGACGTCTTTACTAATACTTACTACTGACTGACTCATGGATCTTTGTTTCACTTGGATATAGCTACGCTTTGCTCACCACTTAGGCCAGATCACTATCATTTTGAACAGTGATTCTGTCTACACTTTCTTTCTTTTTCTCATATCTGAAAATGCTAGTTGAAATTCCTGTCTTGTAAATGTGGAGCAGCAGCTTCCCTGAGGGTCATATGGTATGGCTGCAACTGAAGCTGTTCCCACTTAGATAAACTATGAGGTTTACCCTCTGATGAATTACAATGTGTGATTTATAAGTAGGTCTATATATATTCTGACTTGGCCCTTGGTATGATTTGTGTTTAGTTATTAGCCCATATATTACTGTTATTCGTGCAGTTCATCTGCAGCTACATCACTCTCCTCTTGTACAGCTTTTCTGTCAAATAGTTTAATGAATCAAATAATGTATAAATACATATGTTTATTGTGCTCTGTGGCTCCTTCGATATCCTGGAATTCAGTTGGCCAAGAGTAATTTATCTTGGAGCACGATGCAGCTCTAGACACTTTTGAATGCAGTTGTAACACTTCTAGACTATGTATGGGATCAGTTATAGTATTTCTTCCGGGTTGAGGTAGTGACGGGAGGGATGAGCAGTGATGCTGCCTGTGTTTGCTCCGCACATCAGCAGCCAACCTCCTCTCCCTCAGTCAGACAGACCGAGGCAGAGGCAGCACGTCCGTCGGTAAAGAGGGAGCTCAAACGGCATAGCGTTGCTGCCGACTGAACCGACAGTCATATTCACGGTCTTTCCAAATGGATGACTCCTCTCACACAGCCTTTTGACACCGGACAATGCTCTTGTAGCCGCGTTCAACGTGAGAAAAACCTCATTCCCGTCTCGGTTTTTAAGGTAACTGGTTTGTTTCGACGACACGGAGAGGACCACACTCCCCCCACCACCACCACCACCATCACCGTTAGCTCGCTAAGCTAGCTAGCCTGCTAACTTAGCTGTGACACTTTGAACCGTTCGGCGTCAGTTTTCTGCCTCGCAGCTAGCCTGCGGTCTCTTGCGCCACAGCGGCGGATTGAGGTGACCTGTCTCTCTAGGTAAGCGAATATTATGTGAAAAACCTTGTATCATTGTTGTTTTTTTCTGGCCACATTTTCAACCGCAGGCTTGTTTCTGGCCGGTGAAGCAGTAACGTTATCTAGGAGCAGCGGACTGGCGCTATGGCAGAGTGGTTCTTGTTGACAGAAGCAGCCAAGCAACGGAGATGTGATGCGACTCTGTTAAACACACAAATTGTCACTTTACGTCGCAGCTAACTGGCCGGCAATTGCTGTTTCACAACCACTCTGCAACACGCTTGAGGAAAGAATAGCTGTTTTTTCGATAAGGAAGCCCTTAAATACTTTTCACCAAATGTTAGCGTTCACTCTTGACTGTCGATTTGTGGTGAATGGGCCACTGCCAGATTAACATTATCTTACACTTGCCGCATTTGACTGCAGCCAGTTTTCCTAATGGTTTATTTAAATTGAGAGTGTGTTCAGACAGTTAACAGATAGCCTGCCTTGACTTAACGGTCAGGATATCACCAATGCAAAGAATTATAAAGCAGTTGATGTTTAAAGTTGGCCCTAATTTTCATAAGGGACTGTAGATGTAGACTTCCTCATTTCTCTCCACACATTTCACAACCTGGAAAGATGAGCTGTACACTAGGAATTTAACCCCTGGTTCGTACTTGTCTCCTGTGTCCTGATAGAGGTCAGATGATTTAGTTTAGCTTGATACAAACAGGGAGAAAAAAAGGCTGGTGACCACAATTAACCCCTTCCCTTCCTCTGGTGGACTGCAGATTTTTACCCCACCACCCCCCCACCCCCCCCCCACCACCACACCCCCCACGTTTACACCGGATATACGTTTCACCTAATTCAATCAATAAGAGACATTTTATAGGGTTTGTTTGAAGCATGTGGTGCCTGACCTGTGTGTGTCTGTCTGCGGAGGAGGAGAGACTCACTGAGTGAGTGAAAGAAGAGAGAATGAGCATGCATGAGTGAGCATGCATTAAGAATGCTGTAATTATCTCCAGTGATAAGAAAATGGATTCACTATCAATCCTGCAAGAGGCGGCAGTTGCTGAGCAGAGCAGATGAAGATGTAGGATCGACAGAGAACCAGTTCAATTTATCTGTCATGTTCCTTAAAGGGAGAGAAAAGAGGAGCATGTATTATTTATCGTGTGTGTGTATGTGTGTGTGTGTGTGTGTTGCGTTGCTTGTGTGTTTGCAGTAGGAGAATAAGTTGCTGTACCTTTGTGCTACCTGTAGCATTGGTTCTTCGGTGCCTGAACCTGAGTTGATGACCTTGGTCATGTTTTGAGCATGAATACCTGTGGTACAGCTGAACCACATAAAAGGAGAACTGACATGACCATGTAGGACAGTATGGCAAAATATGAATAATATAATATTTGCATTCAGTACATGTGGCTTCTCAGCACATGCAGTTTTCTGACCTGTGTTGTATGTGTCATGTTTAGGACCTTGCCTCAAAGCTATATTTCTGAACTCAGCCCTGTGTTAAGGCATGACTGTCTACCACTGAAAGGAAATGAATCATGTTCCTCATTTCAAGGCCGTGGATTTGGCATGATGCATTTCCTGACCTGTGTGTTGAATGTGTGTTCAGGCCTCAGCAGATGTGCCTGCTTTTGTGAATGTGTACCTCATTTTCTATATTTGTGAGGGCTGATTTAAGATATTTGTAAACTGGAAACATTTTGGCCACCCTTCAGGATCATTTTATTAGTGTTGAATATTTGGACTATGATAAAATTAGGTTATTTGTCTAAGAAGTGAATGACATAAATCAGGGCTGTCAACATATATAATGATAAAAAATTGCATGTGTGTGTATTGGTAATACAGGTGGTAATAATCATAATAATAGCATGCTTTGGAATGTAATTAGTCTAATATTTACAAAACTCCAATTTATAAAGCATGTGCTCAAACGCAACCAAAAGGTTTTACCATTCTCTGTGTTTTAAATCGTGGTAAGAAATTTGACTGTTTTTTTCGCTTGATTTTGCTGATCACTATGTGAAATTGAAAGTGAAAGATATTCACTCTGTTTGTAAGTGTATTGGTATTTGTGAGTGTCTGTGTTTGTCATGGAGGGTGGCTGTGGTGCATTTATTGCTCTGAGCTGGTCTGGAACAATAGCTCTATTCTGGCCCATGTCTCCGGAGGGAGCCAGCAGCATTCGGCGTTCTCGGCACTCTGTGTGCCAGCAAGGCTTGGTTTGGGATTGGGTTTCCACAGCCACCTGGAGCTCAGAGCACAGGAATGCCATTGTTCCTCTTTCCAGACTACGGCCAGATCAGGCACACATGCAGACACACATTCACATAAACAAACACATGCATGTACACACATTAATTACACAATATGCAAGAGGAGCTCATACCAGCTTTCCTGTCCCTCAAAACTAAGGTCACCCTGATTTCTTACATTGTCATTGCTTACATGACTAGACAGTGACCTGTGCCAGCACACCCTCTGAGAGCTGATATTAGCAGCAGAGCAATATGCTTGTCTGCATGGCTGGTTAGTATTTTTAGCTGCAAAGCACAGTAAATATGAGCTGAACATATTGTAGTTCCACTTTTTGTTCTGTTGATATACTCACTTGATAATCTACACCCTGCTTAAGACTTATCACAGGCATGTGAAGTGAGTGAGTTGCTGAAAATGTCACTTGTGTTAATTAATTAATCAACAGCAAAGATGAAAAGAAGTTAATTGGTTTAGTACTTTATCAAGCTAAAATGGCAAACAAAGTTTTGGTTGTTTTCCAGACAAAACAAGTAATTTGAAAACCTCACCTTGGGTGATGTAAATTTTTAATGAACAATTTTCACTGTTTTCTACACCAAACATTTAACTGATTAATCAAAAAGATCATGAACAAAAAATAATTGATCATGAAAATAATAGTTGCTTGCAGACAAAGTGCAGCCAAACATGAAGAACTATGACCTTGAAATTAAATTTTAACTTGGTAATATGGATACATATTGTCATAGAGCCTAGAGCAAGCTTGGCGACACCTCTGCTGTTCTAGATGGTGAAATGTCAATTTGACTTTATTTACTTCAAAGTCATCTCTTTAATCAAATCCCCCTCTCTCAAGAAAACATTGATGAGTGATTACTTTCCAGACACATCAGACAGACTTATCTCCACACTTTGCATCAATTTGTTGTTATAATGTGGCAGTGTAGAAGAAAGCAGATTTGCTTCTCACAGATCCACCCATTACAAAGTTTCTTTCTCACTAATTATGATAATCTCAACAATCAAGAGCCACATTAACATAAATATACTCTGTTTGTGTAGAGTAGTGGAACAAGCATCTTGTGTGAGTGGTCTCATTTTTAGTTAAAATTTCATGTCTTAACAAAATCGTAAAGTATTTTTGGGGCAAGAAAGGCTTTTGGTGGACTCGAACCAGGGACACTGTTATTAGTTAAATTTATAAGCCCTGTTTATCTTCTTTGTTTTAAATTGAAGTGGCTTGTAGGTGCAACCTGTTTATCTTGCTTTTAGTGTTATTAAATCAACTTAAGATCAGACATACAGAAAATCACTCTAGATGTTGTAGCTACTTTTGCAAGATCAGATAGTGGTAACCCTAAATGGTTGATCTTCAGACAAAGTGAGAGTAAAAGAAAATGAAGGATGAGAAGGAGAGAGATAGCCATCAGGAGCATTTAGCGTTTTTTTCTTTCTGCCTCTCAGTTCTCTAGGGTTTGGAGCCAGGCAGTTTCAGTTGTATGTGTGTATGTGTGTGTGCGTGTCCTCTGGCTTTCCAACGGGTCACATTAGGGATAGAGTTGCACAGAAGTGGGTCAGCCAGTGCCACCAGGGAGTCTTGCCAGCTCCCTGCTCGCTCTCAGGCTGGAACCAACTAGAGGCCAACACAAACATGTGAACCTTAGTTGTGTGCATGTGTGTTCAGTATATGTGTATGCATTGTTTGCGAGTATTAATTATTGGTGTGTGTTTATATGCAGAGTCACAGACGCAGAGTATGTGAGAGAGAGAGTGGTCGTCACAGGGTGGTTTGTCATTCATTGACATAACATGTTCCTGCCTAGTCCACTGTACTTTGACTCCTCATAAACAGCTTTGCTGGAAAAGGAAATATTGTAAAGCTCTGAAGGCAAAAAGAACAGCCAGCCTAAGCTATGGCGCAGTATGTTTAGACTGCATACAGGGCCTCTACAGATGATTCAGAGCCTGTCACAATCAGTGTGTCTCAGCTGGATGGACACAGTGTTTCTGTCGCCATAATTATAAGAAAATAGGATTAAGCCCAGTATTCAGAATTAGTTCTTGCAACGTGTTGTCCGACCACATTGGACAACACTGTGTTGATGAAAAGGCGACCTTCACAGAGAGGGGGAAGACACAGTATTGTTTAAATATTGGGATAGAATTAGTTCTAGCTAAAAGGAGTGTGAATGTTTGACATAATGACGTTGATCAGCGATAACTACACACATTAAAAAGATCAGATGCAGGTGAAATACTGAGACACTGTACATGTGAGATGAGTGCCTATTTTGGAGATATTATTATCATGAGAGTGAGTAAAATGCATGTAAATCTGCCTTTTGTGAGGGAAAAGACAAAGGAGTTTTAAATGTGTATACAGGACACATGTCAATGTTGAACACTGCTGTCATTCATATCATCAGGATAACATGCAAATCCCATTCTTTCACTTTTCAGTTACACCTGGACATGTCAGTGCAACTTCGTAAGCTTGAACAAAATCCAAATGGATGTGCAATTGCAACTGACGTGTTGTTGCAAGTCTAGTTGGCTTTGGCATACTGTTGTACTCCCATGGTTTACTTCATAATCAGATCTTGTCCTTGGGTAGTACAGAGCTTTCAGAGTCACCTTCAACACCTGAATAGAGTGAAATAATATGGATGTCAACAGCTTACCTGGAAGCTTTAAGCAACACTGTACACTGTGTTTAGCTTAGCTCCAACAATTACCTTCTTTGTAAGAGTGTGCTG